TTTTAAGGCCGAAAATGCATTGAAATCGCACATTTTCACCATTCCGGACCCGTATCTCAGTTATGCATGGATGGATTTTGTTCAAATTTGGTACATACATTAAACATAATAGGCCCTTGATGCACGTCTTTTTTTTTTCGGATCAAGTTCGAAATGGCCGACTGGCGGCCATTTTGTTAAAGAATTCAGTTCTGGATCCGTATCCAAGACATGTCTGGATTGATCAAGTTCAAACTTCACACACACATGGTACATCATGTCACAAATAGATATGTGCATTTGTTTCATGATCTGCTTAACAATAGTGGAATGATGGCCATTTTAAGGCCGAAAATGCATCAAAATCACGTATTTTCACAATTCCAGAACCGGATCTCAGTCATGCATGGATGGATTTTGTTCAGATTTAGCACAATGTGTTGTACATATGCAGGTGCATTTCGGTCATGATCTGCTTTGAATGTATATGTCACTCAAATATGAACGGAACGGGGACGTGTCATTGACAATGACTTGTCTTCCAACTTATTCTCCAGATTTCAATCCTGCTGGAAACTGCTTAAACAAATTGAAAATCACACTTAAACGTGACTACTACAGGGAATTATTGCACAACTTTCCTATTGCTGTATATGACGCACTTTCCGAAATAACACCACATGATACAAAGGAATTCCTTAATGCAACTGGCTACTTAAATATGAATCCCAATCTATAGATTTTTCAAATAAGTGCAGCTTGGCAACTCAAACTAAACAACCGTTTTCAGGTTTATTTAATCTCTTTTTTTTTTTAGAAGTCTGATAATTTGTATGTGTGTATGTGCGAGTTGATAAACTAAAGTCTATATGTATAATGTTTGAAATAATATTACCTTGCATTCGATACAAATTAAAACACGGGAGTGTAATACTTCTATGATTTAATATAAGCTATACATTTTTATGACCAACGAGGCTGTTGATAGTGTGTTCTCTATACATTATTTGTATCGACTTCGATGGCCACTAAGCTTCAATGTAACTAAATTAAGGTTGTTACAATTTAATAACGTAATGTCAAAGCTACGTGGGTGAGGCAGTTTGATCAAATTCCGTTGTAGGTTTAATCAAGTTGTTTGCAGTAATAAATCTCCCTCCCTCTGATCATACATACCTATAAATTATAATTTCAAAAATAAATTTCTTCAAAGACATTCAGGTGGGGCATCCAAGGCATTCAGGTGGGGCATCCAAGGCATTCAGGTGGGGCATCCAAGGCATTCAGGTGGGGCATCTAAGACATTGGGGTGGGGCATCCAAGGCATTCAGCTGGGGCTTACAAGATATTCAGGTGGGGCATCCAAGGCATTCAGGTGGGACATCCAAGGCATTCAGGTGGGGCATCCAAGGCATTCAGGTGGGGCTTACAAGGTATTCAGGTGGGGCATCCAAGTTATTCAAGTGGGGCTTACAAGGTATTCAGGTTGGGCATCCAAGGCATTCAGGTGGGGCTTACAAGGTATTCAGGTGGGGCATCCAAGTTATTCAAGTGGGGCATCCAAGACATTCAGGTGGGGCATCCAAGGCATTCAGGTGGGGCATCCAAGGCATTCAGCTGGGGCTTACAAGGTATTCAGCTGGGGCATCCAAGGCATTCAGGTGGGGCTTACAAGATATTCAGGTGGGGCATCCAAGACATTCAGGTGGGGCTTACAAGGTATTCAGGTGGGGCATCCAAGGCATTCAGGTGGGGCTTACAAGATATTCAGGTGGGGCATCCAAGACATTCAGGTGGGGCTTACAAGGTATTCAGGTGGGGCATCCAAGGCATTCAGGTGGGACATCCAAGGCATTTAGGTGGGGCTTACAAGGTATTCAGGTGGGGCATCCAAGACATTCAAGTGGGGCTTACAAGGTATTCAGCTGGGGCATCCAAGACATTCAGGTGGGGCATCCAAGGCATTCAGGTGGGGCATCCAAGGCATTCAGGTGGGGCTTACAAGATATTCAGGTGGGGCTTACAAGATATTCAGGTGGGGCATCCAAGACATTCAGGTGGGGCTTACAAGGTATTCAGGTGGGGCATCCAAGGCATTCAGGTGGGGCTTACAAGGTATTCGCTGGGGCATCCAAGGTATTCAGGTGGGGCATCCAAGACATTCAGGTGGGGCTTACAAGATATTCAGGTGGGGCTTACAAGATATTCAGGTGGGGCTTACAAGATATTCAGATGGGCGTACAAGATATTCAGGTGGGGCATCCAAGACATTCAGGTGGGGCATCCAAGGCATTCAGGTGGGGCATCCAAGGTATTCAGGTGGGGCATCCAAGACATTCAGGTGGGGCTTACAAGGTATTCAGGTGGGGCATCCAAGGTATTCAGGTGGGGCTTACAAGATACTCAAGTGGGGCATCCAAGACATTCAGGTGAGGCATCCAAGGCATTCAGGTGGGGCTTACAAGATATTCAGGTGGGGCATCCAAGACATTCAGGTGGGGCATCCAAGGCATTCAGGTGGGGCATCCAAGGCATTCAGGTGGGGCTTACAAGGTATTCAGCTGAGGCATCCAAGGTATTCAGGTGGGGCATCCAAGACATTCAGGTGGGGCTTACAAGGTATCCAGGTGGGGGCATCATAAGCATTCAGGTGGGAATACAAGACATTCAGATGGGGCATCCAAGGTATTCAGAAGGGGCATCCAAGACCTTCAGGTGGGACATCCAAGACCTTCAGGTGGGGCATCCAAGACATTGAGGGGGGGGCATCCAAGGTATTCAGGTGGGGCATCCAAGACATTCAGGTGGGGCATCTAAGACATTCAGGTGGGGAATACAAAACATTGAGGTGGGGCATCCATAACATTCAGGTGGGGAATCTAGGACATTCAGGTGGGGAACACAAGACATTGAGGTGGGGCATCCATAACATTCAGGTGGGGCATCTAAGACATTCAGGTGGGGAATACAAGACATTGAGGTGGGGCATCCATAATATTCAGGTGGGGCATCTAAGACATTCAGGTGGGGAATACAAGACATTGAGGTGGGGCATCCAAGACATTGAGGTGGGGCATCCATAACATTCAGGTGGGGCATCTAAGACATTCAGGTGGGGCATCTAAGACATTCAGGTGGGGAATACAAAACATTGAGGTGGGGCATGCATAACATTCAGGTGGGGCATCTAAGACATTGAGGTGGGGAATACAAGACATTGAGGTGGGGCATCTAAGACATTGAGGTGGGGCATCTATAACATTCAGGTGAGGCATCTAAGACATTCAGATGGGGAATACAAGACATTGAGGTGGGGCATCCATAACATTCAGGTGGGGCATCTAAGACATTCAGGTGGGGAATACAAAACATTGATGCGGGGAATACAAGACATTGAGGTGGGGCATCCATAACATTCAGGTGAGGCATCTAAGACATTCAGGTGGGGCATCCATAACATTCAGGTGGGGCATCTAAGACATTCAGATGGGGAATACAAAACATTGAGGTGGGGCATCCATAACATTCAGGTGGGGCATCTAAGACATTTAGGTGGGGCATCTAAGACATTGGGGTGGGGCATCTAAGACATTGGGGTGGGGCATCTTAGACATTGGGGTGGGGCATCCAAGACATTGAGGTGTGGCATCTATAATATTCAGGTGGGGAATACAAGACATTCAGGTGGGGAATACAAGACATTCAGGTGGGGAATACAAGACATTGGGGTGGGGCATCCAAGACATTGTGGGGCATCCAAGACGTTCAGATGGTGCATCCAAGACATTCAGAAGGGGAATCTAAGACATTGAGGTGTGGCATCTATAATATTCAGGTAGGGAATACAAGACATTAAGGTGGGGCATCTAAGACATTGAGGTGGGGCATCCAAGATGTTCAAATGGGGCATCCAAGGCATTCAGGTGGGGAATACAAGACATTCAGATAGGGCATCAAATACATAAAGGTGGGGCTTGCAATACATTCAGGTGGGGCATCCAAGGCATTCAGGTTGGGCATCCAAGGTATTCAGGTGGGGCCTCCAAGACCTTAAGGTGGGGCATCTATAACATTCAGGTGGGGCATCTAAGACATTGGGGTGGGGCATCTAAGACATTGGGGTGGGGCATCCAAGACATTGGGGTGGGGCATCCAAGGTATTCAGGTGAGGCTTACAAGGTATTCAGGTGGGGCTTACAAGGTATTCAGGTGGGGCATCCAAGGCATTCAGGTGGGGCATCCAAGGCATTCAGGTGGGGCTTACAAGATATTGAGGTGGGGCATCCAAGACATTGAGGTGAGGCATCCAAGGCATTCAGGTGGGGCATCCAATGTATTCAGGGAGGGCATCCAAGGCATTCAGGTGGGGCATCCAAGGCATTCAGGTGGGGCATCCAAGGCATTCAGGTGGGGCATCCAAGACATTCAGGTGGGGCATCCAAGACATTCAGGTGGGGCATACAAGACAATCAGGTGTGGCATGCAAGGTATTTAGGTGGGGCATCCAAGGTATTCAGGTGGGGCATGCAAGGTATTCAGGTGGGGCATACAAGACAATCAGGTGTGGCATCCAAGATATTCAGGTGGGGCATCCAAGACATTCACAATTTTTGTGAGATTGATTTCCAAAATTATATTTTTATAGAAACTGTTCATATTCCTGTGGTACTTGTCGTGGTGGAAGGTGGATATGGAACATTTCAAACTGTGTATGAATCATTGGTTCGTGAGGGAAATGAACAGTCAGTGCCGGTGGTTGTTGTTGATGGCAGTGGCAGAGCTGCTGATGTCATTGCTCTCTGTTTAAGAAAAACCAAAGATGTTTCCAAAGAGAACCTAAAAAAAACTTATCGGTGAGTGTTTTAATCTGACATGTTATCGTGGTAGATGCAGTATTAGACTGTTTTCTAGAATGTTTTCTGATTCCCAAAATATTTTAGAATTTCAGATTATTTAATACTTCAAATAATGTCTAAACATTTTTAATTTCAGAAAAAACCTGGAAAAAAACATGAAAGAATCAATCCAAAACTTTGTAAGACTGAAAGATGATCAGATGAAGCAGACTCTTGATTGGCTGGCAGTCATCATGACGCACAGAAATATGGTAAATAATAATATTCTGAATTTTTAACTAATCTATATGATAGAATGAATTTGTTTTTATTGGTGAATATGAAAATACTTTACATTTTTATCCACATACAAGAGGTTCTTTGTATAGTCTCTGTTGAAATCATTATAAACACAATTTTAGTTCACTGGTGAAATCACTGGAAACAATTTTAGTTCACTGGTGAAATCACTGGAAACAATTGTAGTTCACTGGTGAAATCACTGGAAACAATTGTAGTTCACTGGTGAAATCACTGGAAACAATTGTAGTTCACTGGTGGAAATCACTGAAAACAATTTTAGTTCACTGGTGAAATCACTGGAAACACAATTTTAGTTCACTGGTGAAATCACTGGAAACACAATTTTAGTTCACTTGTGAAATCGCTGGAAACACAATTTTAGTTCACTGGTGAAATTACTGGAAACACAATTTTAGTTCACTGGTGAAATCACTGGAAACACAATTTTAGTTCACTGATGAAATCACTGGAAACACGATTGTAGTTCACTGGTGAAATCACTGGAAACACAATTTTTGTTTACTGGTGAAATCACTGGTAAAAACAATTTTAGTTCACTGGTGAAATCACTGAAAAAACAATTTTAGTTCACTGGTGAAATCACTGAAAAAACAATTTTAGTTCACTGGTGAAATCACTGGAAACACAATTGTAGTTCACTGGTGAAATCACTGAAAACACAATTGTAGTTCACTTGTGAAATCACTGAAAAAACAATTATAGTTCACTGGTGAAATCACTGAAAACACAATTTTAGTTCACTGGTGAAATCACTGAAAACACAATTCTAGTTTATTGGTGAAATCACTGAAAAAACAATTTTAGTTTATTGGTGAAATCACTGGAAACACAATTGTAGTTCACTGGTGAAATCACTGGAAACACAATTGTAGTTCACTGGTGAAATCACTGGAAACACAATTGTAGTTCACTGGTGAAATCACTGGAAACACAATTGTAGTTCACTGGTGAAATCACTGAAAAAACAATTGTAGTTCACTGGTGAAATCACTGGAAACACAATTGTAGTTCACTGGTGAAATCACTGGAAACACAATTCTAGTTTATTGGTGAAATCACTGAAAAAACAATTTTAGTTCACTGGTGAAATCACAGGAAACACAATTCTAGTTTATTGGTGAAATCACTGAAAAAACAATTTTAGTTCACTGGTGAAATCACTGAAAACACAATTCTAGTTTATTGGTGAAATCACTGAAAAAACAATTTTAGTTCACTGGTGAAATCACTGGAAACACAATTGTAGTTCACTGGTGAAATCACTGGAAACACAATTCTAGTTTACTGGTGAAATCACTGAAAACACAATTGTAGTTCACTTGTGAAATCACTGAAAAAACAATTGTAGTTCAATGGTAAAATCACAGGAAACACAATTCTAGTTTATTGGTGAAATCACTGAAAAAACAATTTTAGTTCACTGGTGAAATCACTGAAAACACAATTTTAGTTCACCGGTGAAATCACTGGAAACACAATTGTAGTTCACTGGTGAAATCATTGAAAACACAATTTTAGTTCACTGGTGAAATCACTAAAAACACAATTTTAGTTCACTGGTGAAATCACTGAAAAAACAATTTTAGTTCACTGGTGAAATAGCTGGAAACACAATTTTAGTTCACTGGTGAAATCACTGGAAACACAATTGTAGTTCACTGGTGAAATCACTAAACACAATTGTAGTTCACTGGTGAAATCACTGAAAACACAATTCTAGTTCACTGGTGAAATCACTGAAAAAACAATTTTAGTTCACTGGTGAAATCACTGGAAACACAATTGTAGTTCACTGGTGAAATCACTGAAAAAACAATTTTAGTTCACTGGTGAAATCACTGAAAACACAATTTTAGTTCACTGGTGAAATCACTGAAAACACAATTTTAGTTTACTGGTGAAATCACTGAAAAAACAATTTTAGTTCACTGGTGAAATCGCTGAAAACACAATTTTAGTTCACTGGTGAAATCACTGGAAACACAATTGTAGTTCACTGGTGAAATCACTAAAACACAATTGTAGTTCACTGGTGAAATCACTGAAAACACAATTCTAGTTCACTGGTGAAATCACTGAAAAAACAATTTTAGTTCACTGGTGAAATCACTGAAAACACAATTTTAGTTTACTGGTGAAATCACTGAAAACACAATTTTAGTTTACTGGTGAAATCACTGAAAAAACAATTTTAGTTCACTGGTGAAATCACTGGAAACACAATTTTAGTTCACTGGTGAAATCACTGGAAACACAATTTTAGTTCACTGGTGAAATCACTGAAAAAACAATTTTAGTTCACTGGTGAAATCACTGGATACACAATTTTAGTTCACTGGTGAAATCACTGAAAACACAATTTTAGTTCACTAGTGAAATCACTGAAAACACAATTTTAGTTCACTGGTGAAATCGCTGAAACACAATTTTAGTTCACTGGTGAAATCGCTGGAAACACGATTGTAGTTCACTGGTGAAATCACTGGAAACACAATTTTAGTTCACTTGTGAAATCGCTGAAACACAATTTTAGTTCACTGGTGAAATCACTGGAAACACAATTGTAGTTCACTGGTGAAATCACTGGAAACACGATTGTAGTTAACTGGTGAAATCACTGGAAACACAATTTTAGTTTACTGGTGAAATCGCTGAAACACAATTTTAGTTCACTGGTGAAATCGCTGGAAACACAATTTTAGTTCACTGGTGAAATCGCTGGAAACACGATTGTAGTTCACTGGTGAAATCACTGGAAACACAATTTTAGTTTACTGGTGAAATCACTGGAAAAACAATTTTAGTTAACTGGTGAAATCACTAAAAACACAATTTTAGTTCACTGGTGAAATCACTGGAAACACACTTGTAGTTCACTGGTGAAATCAGTGGAAACACAATTTTAGTTGACTGGTGAAATCACTGGAAACACAATTCTAGTTTACTGGTGAAATCACTGAAAACACAATTGTAGTTCACTGGTGAAATCACTAAAAACACAATTGTAGTTCACTGGTGAAATTGCTGGAAACACAATTTTAGTTCACTGGTGAAATCACTGGAAACACAATTTTAGTTCACTGGTGAAATCACTGGAAACAATTTTAGTTCACTGGTGAAATCACTGGAAACACAATTGTAGTTCACTGGTGAAATCACTGGGAACACGATTGTAG